ACAAGACAAGAAACGCTATTTCATTACAACATTTTTAACAAAGATCAACATATATATGCCAATTTTCTTTGTATATTTTAGATGCTAAAAGATTGTGAATCTAGGTTACATTTACTTTGTCGATAAAAAATAGGGATAAAGTGCAATCTTCACCCTGATCTTGTTTTTAACGCATAATTTTGCCTCTGATCTTTCAATAGCGCAATTTTGCCGCTGATCTTATTTTTGAAGTGCAATTTTTCTCTTTATCTTTTATTTTTGAGGTGCGTTAATTTTGTTTCTAATATTTAAATTGTATAGAAAAAGAACAAGGTCAAAATTGTATCACTAAAAATATGAGAGGCAAAATTACACCCGAAAGATAAGATCAGAATGAAAATTACAACTTAATCCTAAAAAATTATTACATTTACTTATGCCTGTGGTACTAGTTTGTTGCATATCTATCGATGCCATCTTAATGTACAGTTTGAACTTGAATTATATATATATATATATATATGTATGGAAGGTGACCATTGATATGAACTATTTAGATTGAACCCTTTTCTCATTTAGATAATTTTGATATTATATATTTTTATAATTAAATTGTTAACCATTTTCTATTTTGGACGTGAAAGAGATTGTTTGTTCCTCATCCTTGAACGCTTGAAAAAGAGCGTAAAACTGAGTTTGATAATTTCATAACTTGTATATAGTTTCAAGAATGTGAATATAATACTCTTTTAGTTTTTAATATATAACCTAATTTAAGAGTTTATTTTAGTTTTATATATAAGACCTATTTTAAATATTTATTAATTTTTTTTTAAATTAATCTCATTGATATTCCTCCGCTAATAGGGAATTAAGAAAAATACTTAGTATGTTTTAGAAAAAAAATCATATTAACTAATTTAACTAACATCTTTAATATACTCAAATTAATTAATTATGACCGGCGAAGCACTTATTACAAGGAACACATCCCTTTACAATCTTATTCTGAGAAGTACAAAATTGTACGAGAGAAAAAATATTAAAATACTCAAATTAGTTTCTGCATATATCGCTGTTATTTTAATGTACACTTCGAACTATAATTCTTCTCAAGCGAATATATATGGAAAGTGTCCATTGAATATGAGCTATCTTGATTTAACCCTTTTTCTATTTAGATAATTTTGATATTATATATTTTTATAATTAGATTGTTAACAGCTTTTTGTTTTGGACTTAAAAGAGATTGTTTGTTTCTTATCCTTAAACTCTTGAGAAAAAGCACAAAACTGGGTTTGGTAATTTCGTAACTCAAATTGAATTCAATTCCAAGAATGTGGATATAATACTTATTACAAAGGAACAAATCCTTTATGTTATTATTATGAGGAGTACAAAAATTGTGTGAGAAAAAATATGAAACCAAATAAAGGGACTGACAAGAACAAATAATCCAGAGAGCAGCAATAGCAGAGAGCAGCACAACTGCAATGAAGAGAAGAAAAAGAGACAAAACAAAGTTAATATCAGGTAATGATCAATTGGAAAAGAAATGAAGATTCATTTTAAAAAAATTTTAAAAACAGAGGTATTTTGGGAACTCACCATCCCTCTCAGAAGCCATCACCCCTACTCATGGTCTTCTGCGGAACGCTGTTGTGAGTCCCAATAAACATCATCCTTAGAAGGATACCCCATTGGCGAAGGAGCACTCACAGTCGGCGGCGGCCGATATGCCAGTACCGGTGAAGGATATGACACTACAAATTCATCCTATAATATATATAGTTAATCAATACTGTTAATCCCATTTACAAACACAGTATAATGATATAGCAGAGTAGTAGCTTGTTGTGAAAGAGAAAACTTACCGGGAGGATCTTGTTGAATGTAATGATGATTCATGATTGCTAAATACTACCTTTGGTCCTTGATATAAGATCTCGTTTAACTTTTATTTCGGTCCTAAATATAAGATTCCAATCCACTTTGTTTCTCATATTTATACTTTTTTTTTTAAGTAGTCTTTCTAATAATAGTAGTTCTAGCCAATATACTTGATTAGTAATGATATTTTAGGAGAAAAAAACATCTATTTACTGCAAATAACTAACTTAATTTATTTTTTTAATCTTATCAAATTAGTCAAATAGTTCTTATATTTAGTACGTAATACTGAAATTGATGATCATCTTATGAACTATATGAAGATACAGGTAGACCCAAAAATGAGATGAGATCGAGACGCTATATAGAATGCATATATATATATATATATATAAATATAGGTGGGTGAATGGTGGGCGGCTATGAACGGTATGAAAGCGCGTGGGAGAAGGCGGATTCGGGGAAGGGATGGACCTTCCCATGGCTAAGGTTGCTTAGTGCTCTGTGCCTCCCTGTCAAAGTTGACAATATTATCAACTATGTCTTCACCATTTGAAATGAGAACCAAAGATACGGACAAGAGAGGAATCATTCAATGAGTAGCTTTGTTCGTAGCGGTCCAGAAAAGGAATGCGATAATGTTTTGATTGACCGAGCCATATTTTTGGCTGTGATTTTGTAGGGATTATTTAAAAAATAATAAAGAACAAAAAGAAAGAAGAGAAACCCAAAAAATTAAAGCAGTTAATTTTTGTGGGTAAGACCAACCCATATTTTTGCTGAATCTTCGAAGATTTGCATTATCAGTTACAGTCTGTGTTATGTTAGGTGCTAAAATTGGATTTGATTGCACTGTACGTGGAGACATGCTTAAACGTATGAATCAACTTCAACATGCTTTAGTGATTTAGGCGTTATAAGTAAATCCAGAAAGCAATGTTCATAAATAAATAATGACGTTAGGAACAGAGAGGCAGAGACGAAATAGATATATAATAATGAAGGATTTTGAGGAGGAGATTGCCAAGTTATACGCACACAAATACATATAGGTTGGAGGCGGCAGCGGCCAAGGTAGCTTAATGGAAGATTCAAATAACATTGTGAAAGCGCGCGGGGAAGAAAGATGAATGTGATTAAAAGCTTCTCTCACTGAATGCCCCCTTTTTCACTATATGCTTCCTAAATGCATGTCTTCAGCAGCGTGCTGATCATCTGTAGATATAAAGGAAGTAAGTAAGGAGATCGTTTTGCCCTTTCTTTGCCTAAGAGACTCAAGTCGGGCACTATGTTCCAAAACTCAAATGGTCTTATTTGTGGAGAAATGGAATAGAGGCAAAATAGAAAGCTCCACTCCATATCTGACAAGCTCGTTTAGTCTGGATAATTAGAAAACTAAGATTAAGATATTCCTTCCCTCAACCTCACCATTATATTGGACTTGACCTCTCAATTCATAATCTCGATAGTTGCTAACCATGTGCACCGCACAAATTGTTATATTCTGATCATTGTTATTCACAATCAGTACATGTGCTCTGGCATTTTGATCTACAACGTATCAAAGGGGATCTTAAGGAGTGTGCATGCCTTGCAATAGTTTCAATTGTAAGGATTTATTCAAAAATCAGTATATTGTACAGGACTAAATGATCGGTTCTTCCCCCAGAAAACAAAAATCGCAATCGAAGTTCCAGAAACTATCAATAGTCTTTTAATCTGATGAATTAGAAAGAGGTAAAAATTCCCTCCCCAGAAGGCACGATAGGGCTATATAAGCTCTCGTTTTCTGATGCTGATGACAAGCTTTGTATTCTTATCATGAACTCAGTGCATGTGCCCTAACTTCTGCACAATCGGGCCGTGACTGACCAATTCCTATCTCATATCTCACGTTCTTAGTGCATGTGCTTTTGACATTTCTGCACAATCAAACAAGCTATGCCCCCATCCGTCAAAAGGAACATGGAAAGCCAGACTCTATGGTAGACTGAGATTGCTGTGCAGCAAGTAAACTATACGTCTAAACTCTAAAGTTTTCTATACGTTTATTGTGTTTAGCACTAAATTGAGTCTTAGTCAATCAGTTATTGTTAATTTTTAGGATAATAACTCATTGAATTAATCTAAACCAGATTGGCGGTTTTGAATTTGATTAGCCAAAGACTCCTATGTACCAAGAATAATACAACAACAAAAGTTCGGGAAAATATACTGATATGTGAGGTCGAACGTGCGAACGGCTAGCCAAATAAAAAATTATATTCACTCAATTTTTTTGGTCTTGTTCATTGGTTTTGGACTCTGTTTATTCTTGGTTTTATAGTTTAATCATGGACCGTGCGACAAAAGTTGTTGTAAGGTATCTTTCAACATTTTAGTTGTCATCACATTTTATGCGAGCCTGCACATGTTTAAAGATGTGAAAGAATTACAGTATTTCTCGAAGAGTCGTCTCTCGTATTTTTTTTTATTCTCTCCCAAAATGGGAATAACATAAGGGGAAGAACAGCAAGATATGAGAGCAGCACATAGTTGATAAAAAATATTGTGGGACTCAACATAGCAATAATAATTAAAAAAAAAACAGCAGCACAGAGCTGCACAACTGCAATTAAGAAAATCAAAAAAGGGGACAGAACAATGCACACAGTAGGAATTGATCTGAAGAGAAATTAACAAACCAATAAGAGTTGGTAAAAGCAAATTAAAAACATAGACATTTGATGATGACCTGTGATCTCATCGTCCCTAACAGAAGAAGCATCATTGGAGGGATACCCCATTGGTGGTGAATATGAAGTCACCGGTAAACATAACATCACTAATTAGTATTCTAAATCTCATGCATCTATAGTTAACGGTCAGATACAGGGCAAACTGTGAAGAAGCTTGAAGGAATCATCAATTAAACTGCGTTTGGCAACACAGTATTTTGATCACAAACCGTATATGATATACGTATAACAGTTAACATAGCAGGAGGTTCTTGTGGATGGTGGTAATTCATCATTAAAAAATATTGAAGTTAAGTTGATTATCTTATGAACTATAGGAACAGCAAGGCAGAGACGAAATAGAGATGATAATGAAGGATTTTGAGGAAGAGATTGCTAAGCTATACACACACATAAGAAGTAATGATTCGAATATTTCAATTTAGTTTCCTTTCTAATCAAGAGAAGACTTGAAACCAGCCGTCTTTCGGTTATTGTAATTCTAGAGATGATTATCAGACCATCTGTTACATGATCATAATCTTATGAACTATAATTAAGACCTTTTTCCTTTTCGCCACCACTCATACAAATAATTTGTTATAACTCTCTCTAATATGAGTAGTTTGTAATTGCAAATGTAAGGGTTCAAATAAAGAACTGTAATGACACCTATAAAAAAGACTCCAAATGCTCCCGCAAAACTCCATAAGAAAGCATCTTGAAAATCATATGCTTTCAAATGATGAGGTTGCCTATTTCTCCCTGCTATCGAGCAATTTTGCCGCAAGGGGGGGCCACATAAAAAAGGATTCCCTTCATAACTGGCTGAATCAAAAGTTGCAAATTGATTTTTCATATCAGGTGTTGTTCCAGATAGATTATTTTGAGCCACTGAGAAGGAAGACAATGAGTACAGCTGAGTTAGTTGTGCAGGAATGTGGCCTGTCAATTTGTTGTGGGAAAGATCAAGGCTTTCTATCTGCTTGAGGTTGGAAAACGTTTCTGGAATAAGCCCTTTCAATTGATTGTTTGACAAATTTAATGCATGGATGGCATCTAAGTATCCAATTTGTGAAGGAATTTCACCTACCAATTGATTACTTGAGAGATCCAACCCAGACATTAAATTTAAATTGCTTCTTTTGTAAGATTCATACCTGCTTTTTGTTGTAAAATCTACTTCTTGGTCTTTATGCAATGTAACATTTTCTTTTTGTTCTGGTATGTCAATTTCACCGGTCAGAGGGTTAAAACGATCATCTAAAATGGTTGTAGTCCACGACACAGTAAAAATTCCTATTTCAGTTTCCCTTGCTGCATCTATCTTCCCAAATGTGATGTTATTCAAGCAATATGGTATGCCTCCAGAAAGCTTATTTTGAGAAAGATCTAATAATCTGATATTCTTGAGCTCACATAAATGAGTAGGAATAGAGCCTTCAAGTTTGTTTCCTTTTAACATGAGGACCCTTAAACTCAAAAATGAGCCATTCACTCTTGAAAGTGGACCTGAAAAATTGTTATTCATCAAATCCAAAATCAACAATAAAGGGGAATTAGCTAAAGTGGAAGGTAGAGGTCCCATGAAATGGTTGCTCTGCAAATGCAAGTACTTCAACAACGGCATATTCAAACAACTTGGCAGAGAGCCATTGAATTTATTGTAAGCAAGGTCTAGATATGTAAGTTCAGTCAAGTTGCAAAAGTTTTTTGGTAGTGGACCTATTAAATTATTCTCTGACAATTTGAGGTAGCTCAAATGTTGAAATTTTCCGATCCAGCTAGGCATTTCACCATATAATTGGTTGGCACTTATATCCAACATTCTTAACTCAGTACTATTCATGACCCCCCCTTCAAGCTTTCCTTTGTAGTTATTGTTGCTGAGATCCAAAAATAACAAATATGTGAAATTTGATCTTATGGGCAAGCATGGGCCACTGAGGTTGTTGTTTGACAGCTTTAAAAACCTCAATTCATTGATACCGTGACCGAATTCTTGGGGCAAATAACCATATAAATTATTATTTGACAAGTCAAGATCATTCAATTGCCTCATTTCACCTATTGAAGCTGGAAAGGGACCTTGCAATGAAATTGAAGACATGTTAAGAGAAATCAAGTTGGGAAAAATGAAGCCGATATGAGAAGGGATTTCATCTCTGATGGGGTTTGATGAAATATCAAAAGACTCCATTTGAAGCAATTTGGAGGTGGAATTGAGTTCAAAGGGACCAGTGAACAAGTTGTGGGTCAGACTAAAAACATTTAAACTTGTGTTATTTGTCAAAAGCCAGGATGGGAAGGTCCCTGAAATGTTCGTGCTGGTAAGTTCTAGGTGTAGCAAGTCATATTGATGAAGTAGAAAGGTAGGCATTTTGTTAGTGTTCGCCTCATTAAGAGTACAGTTGTCGATTATGAAACTTCTCAACTGGAAGGAAGGGATAAATGGGGGATTCTCAGTTTCAAGGTTGAGATTGGCGTTAGAGCATGAAATGGAAAAGATTTTGAGGTTGGAGTTGTTGGAAAGCGAAGAGAGTGAAAATGAGCCGGTGAAATTGCCATCAGAAAGAGTAAGAGCTACTAGAGACCTGAAAGAATGGAAGAGGGAGGAAGGAAATGTTCCTTCAAAACGATTTCCCTCAAGAATAAGCGTACGTAGAGAAGTCAAATTGCTAAGGCATGCGGGAAGTTGCCCCTCAAATTCATTCTGGACAAGATCCAGTAATGCAAGATTCTTCATATTGCAAAGGCCTCCTGCAACATACCATTTTTATTTATTAAAATTATTTAATAAGTACATCCATAAAAAAAAATTATAAAACTAGAAGTAATGGCGTAAATTTTGGACTTTGAGATTAAACTATATTTTCCACAAAAAAAAGGCTTTACGTGTGCTAAATTAATTTGTGAGTGTGTACGAAATAAGAAGTGTATCTAAATTAAAATTGGGCCCCAAACAAAAGCCTTCAAATAAAGCCCAAAAATGTAAGTAAACTAACAGTAAATCCTTGAACGCAGGATCACTTATTGGTATTAAAAATAAAGAAAAACAAAACTATACATTTGCTCCTTTTAACTTTGCATAATTTTTTAATTATAAAAAAAAATATGTTTTTAGTCCTTTAATCATAGAATTCTTTGCCTTAAATGATTTTTTTTTTGTAACAATCATGATTTTTTTAAAAATTAAATTTAATATACTAGTATTTAAGAAATCTGACATTGTTGGCGGAATACTCAGTTAATTAATGCGACAAAATATGAGTCGTACCTTGTTGTGGCAATGATCCAGTCAGGTTGTTATGGTCTAATGTCAATGTGGTGAGGGAAGTAAGAGACGTAATAGATTCTGGAATACTGCCCTCCAAGTAATTAGCACCAAGCCACAGCCCCTCCAGATTACGTGAATGAGAAAGGTCTGTCAAATGCCAAATGGACATGTGTGCGTTAAGCGACAGCCTCTTCAAATTAATTAGTGTGTATATACATGTGTGTGTTGTTAAATTTATCGATAATGAATCTGCTAGGTAAGAAAACATCATCTTATCTCTTACTTTTGACATTTCATTCAATTCTCTCAATTAAATGAAGGCACATAAATTGTTCGGTTGAGATGCTTATATGGCAAAGGTAAATAATTTGACTTCCCAACAAAATCAAGATAAAAAATAGAAACTTTCATATATTTAACGGAGAAAACTTTGTCTATATCTTCCTTTTAGCATTTTTCTTAAAATGATGGCCCAGTAATCTTTTTTCTAAAAGTAGATATACTTTTGATGCACGCTTCAGTAACTACATATGTCACTCAAAATATAGGATAATATAGAAGACAAAGATTTAGCACCGAAATATGGGAATTCTCTGAGCATATTATCTTGTAAGTCCAACGTTTCCAAGTTCGCCAGCCTGATATCGCCAAGCAGCCCTGTCCCACAAATAACATGTGATCAGTTACTATCAATGTTAGTGGGTATAAAGAATTATTAAAAAAATAATTCATATAATTAATATCATCGTCCTCTTCATAATTTAACATGAAGTGAAAGTTTGATAGTGTGGTTTTTATTAAGCTTGTTTTGGGACCCTCGATATATCCAAGAAAATATCTTGCTTAGTAATTTATTTTTTAAAAATGAGTAATAAAACTTTTGGTACTCAAATTTAATATCTCCGTTATCAATTTGGTCTGTGAAGTTTAATTTTTATCAATCAAGTTCCTAAAGTTTCATACGCAACTTTACTCCATCTGATGCTATCTATAAGATGTAAATGATTAAATTATGTAGATTATATAGTTTGTTGAAATTGCTTAAAGGCAATAAGCATGTAAAAATGTATTTTTTTTTCCAAAAAAATAAAAATGGTGAATGAGAGAGAAATTGAGTAAGAAAAAGATAAGTATGAGAGAGAATAAATGAAGTCATATAACGTATAATTATTGGGAGAAAATAGAAAAAAATTGGTTCAAATTTCACAAATAAAGCAAAGCGAGGGTTATCATCCTTGAATTAATGGTTGGTGATAGCACATGTGCGTTTAGGATTATCTATCTTCAAACCATAATGACTAATTTTGTATGATTATGAAACTTCAGGGACTTGATTTATAACAATTACTTAAATTTCATGGACCAAATCAATAGGTGAAGCAAATTTGAGGGACGGAAAGTTTCATTATTCCAATCAGAATTATCCACAAATATTTAGCTAGAACTAGAATGGACTCTTACCCTGACAAATCAGTGGCCTAAAAGAGGAAACCGACGAAAAAGAACAAGATAAAAGGTAATGAATGATATGATCATAATCATTATTAGCTAATTTTTTACCGTAACTGATGTGCTTTTACATCTTTAAAAATCACAGTTCGAAATGCTTATAAAAATGTCGGTCTTAATTAACAATGTATGTCTATGTACTGTGTGTATATATTATATGTATGCATGAATGATAGAATAGTTAAAAGAAAGAGGGTGACCTGACAAGTAATTCCCATCCAAACGCAACACTTGAAGCTGGATGAAGGGGAGAAAAGAAGAAGCATTGAGTGACCATTTGATGCGTCTCAACTCATAAGCTCTTGTATCGTTCAGAGAAAGGCTTATGACTCTACGAGTGGAGTTGTCACACTCTACAGCCTCCCAAGTGCAGCAATCTGCAGAGAAGGTATGGTTATTCCAAGAAGGAAGAGAAGAGCCACTTGGATAATTGAAAGCTTCTTTCAATTTCAGAAGAGCTTCTCTCTCTTCTTTCAAGCACCCCTCACTTTCTCCACTAAACCCTAAGAATATGAACATGATTATGGCCATCACGCACAACACGTCTTCTGATCTCACTGAATGATACCCCATTTTTGAGTATGCTTAATTAGCTTCCCTGTTTGCCTATATGTCTTCCATTACGTCCTCTCTATCCATATATATAGGCTGGAAGGAGACTCAATTATTGCTCTCTGAGTTCCAAAACAGTACACGAGTTGACTCATTTGTGGAGAAATGACTCAGACTGAGGATTAAAAAAACACGGCATATGGTGAGTGGCCAGCAACCAATAAAGCTAACAACCATGCAAGACGCGTGACGACCGAGTCACAGTCAAAAAGTTGGGGGGTGGTGTAATCTAGCCATTGGCCAGTGAAAAGAATTAAATTATTATGTATTTATAAAAAGATTTTCACACAGACAATAATAAATCACAGACTCATCAATCCTCTGTTCTGGGTGTGACTAGAAATCTGACATCTGATGGACTATTCAAACAATGTCGGGGCGGATCGCAATTATAGCAGAAAAGATATAACAAAACCATGGTATACCGACACAGAATTGGAGTCGTTTAATTAGAGAGATTAGAAAAAGATGAAAGATTCGCTACCCCCAAAATACACGATTGGGCTTGACGTAACCTCTCGACGACTTATGATTGATCCTGATAGTTGCTAACAATATTCACCACACAAATGAGCTTTATATAAATATATATATATATATATATATATATTCTTATCAAACAAACTATGCTCCATCAAAGAGAGTTTGGAAAGCCAGACTAAATACGGTAGATTGAGATTGTTGTGCAGAAAGTAAACTATACGTCTAAACTCTGAAGTTTATTTCTATACGTTTATCTGTGTTTAGCACTAAAATTGAATCTTAGGCACTCAGTTAGGGTTAATTATCTCTACTATTTTTATTTTTCGGTCTCGTTCATTTGTTTTAGACTCTTTGTTTATTCTTGATTTTATATTTAACCATGCACCGTTGTTTTTAAAGATTTACAGTATTTTTTAAAGAGTCGTTGTTTGCTGCCTACGATTCCTTGGTGTATGAGTCTGAGAATTGGCATGTTTATGCACACAAAACACTGTATATATTTTAATGAATTTTCATCTATATATAGAAGCCCTTTCTTTTCCTGGAAGACTCACATTGGACACTGTGTTCCAAAACTCAAATTGTCTTATTTGTGGAGAAATGGAAGAGAGGCAAAATAGAAACCTCCACTTCACATCTGACATAGACTTGCTCATTTAGTCAGAAAAATTAGAAGAAAGGATTAAGATTCCTTCCCCGAAATACACGATTACATTGGACTTCAACTCAATTCATAATCTTGACAGTTACAAATAACAATGTGCACCACACAAATTGTTGCATTCTTGTCTGCGTGTGCTTTGGCATTTCGATCTGCAACGCATCAAAGGGGATCTTAAGGAGTGCGCATGCCTTGCAATAATTTCAATTGTGAGGATTATTCAAAAATCAGTATAAATGATCAGTTTTTCCCCCAAACAAAAATCACAATCAAAGTTCCAGAAACTATCAGTATTCACTAGTTTTTTTTTTTTTAAGCACTCACATGGACTTAGAATCGTTTAATCTGAAAAGTTAGGAAGAGGTTAAAATTCCCTTCCCCAAAATGCACGATAGGTCTTACGCTCTCGTTTTCTAATGCTGACAACAAACTTTGTATATTCTTACCATGACTAATAAAAATCAGTGCATGTGCCTTGACTTTCTGCGCAATCTACCAAACAGTGCACATCTGTTAGGGCCATGACTGATCAATCTATCCAATATTTCACGTCCTGGATGGCTAAGCATCTGTACACATTCACACTAATTTCTAACCAGGCCTATCAGCAAGAATGATACTACCTTCGGTCCTTAATATAAAAACTAGTTGACTGATTTGAGTAGATTAAGAAAATTAGTTAAGTTAGTTATTTGTAATAAATAGGTGTTATATTTCTTAAAATATCCTTACTAATCAAGTGTATTAGCTAGAACTACGATTATTACAATAACTATTTTGGGAAAAAAATGAATAAATATGAAAAACAAAGTGGATTAGGGTCTTATATTTAAAACCAAAATAAAAGTCATACGTGCTCTTATATTAAGGACCGGAGGTAATATTTACCATAAACAAGTTGTGAGAGGACCTTAACGTAGTTTCCTTGTTGAATGAGTCATATGATTATGACAAACGATGAAGTTGCTGATGATTAGAGAGGATGTGAATGACATAAACCTCAATCGTGTCATTTCTTCAATTAAAGAAACTAGAATTTTGTTTCATAAGTGAGCTTGTTCAACGTTGTTAAAAACTAATATATATACACACGCGCCTATATTTTTCGTGCATGCCTGATTCTTTGATGTCTCTGTATAAATTTTGAGATATATCTTCATATAAAGTCTAAATATGCAGTTTCATTTGCAGTTAAGTATTGTTTTGGATTTGATTTATGTCAGCTTGTGTCTCAAGTTTCTATGGATATATCAACCCGATCCAAGAAGTATTCTCTCAAGTGCTCCCCTTCATAACTGACACAGACTTAACTGGAGTCGTTTAGTGGGAAAGATCAGAAAAAGATGAAGAGTCAATGCCCCCGAAATACACGATTGGGCTTGACGTAACCTCTCGACGACTTATGATTGATCCTGACAGTTGCTAATAATGTTCACCACACAATTCTTACCACAAACTATTCAAAATCTCAGTGCTTGTGCTTTTGACATTTCTGCACAATCAAACAAACTATGCCCCATCAAATGGAATTTGGAAAGCCAGACCGTAATGGTACCCTAAGATTGCTGTGCAGAAAGTAAACTATACGTTTAAACTCTAAAGTTTATTTCTATACCTTTATCTGTGTTTAGCACTAAAATTGACTCCTAGGCGCTGAGGTAGGCTTAATTATTTCTACTATTTTTATTTTTCGGCTTGTTCATTTGTTTTAGACTCTTTGTCTATTCTTGATTTTATATTTAAAGATGGACCGTTGTTTTTAAAGATTTACAGTATTTTTTAAAAAGTCGTTGTTTGCTGCCTACGATTCCTTAGTGTATGAGTCTGAGAATTGGCACGTTTATGCACACAAAACACTTCTATATATTTTAATGAATATTTATGTTAATTGTCATGTTTTATATATAAAGTTTAATTAGGCTACCAAAAGTTAAGTTCCATAATATTAATTACAACTTATATAAGTGTTTCAGCAAGAATCAAATCTTTTAATTTACTATTCCTGAGTCGCTGTAAATCTCAATCTTGATTATTTATATAAATCCTGAAATGTAACGTTATGCTATATATATAATTAACTAAAATCAGGCTCTGCTTGCCTAAATAAATTTCGAGCTTAACCTTTTATTATTATACTTGTTGATATTGATGCATATATAATAAAGAATCCCCTACTCAGCTTGTCTCTCTCAAAGAGTAGACATTTACAAGAGCAGATTATAAATGAAAATTGATCAGATTATAATTTAGGGGAAAATTAAAAAGTTATTTTTTTCTTTAATCTTAATTAACTCCCATACAAGTACTCAGCAGGTAAAACGAAAGGGAAAAAAGTATTCATTATTTCACATAAACTGATAACAGTAATGAACTCTTAACAATCAACATCCACAGCAAAATTCCAGGACCCAGCAGCAGCATATCGCAGCAACACTGCACAGAAAAACAACGTAAATTAAATTATCAAACAAAACATATCAATTAATTGACCTCTATATATATATATATATATATATTCTCTAATCTAATGAAAAAAATGTATATGTATAGGAATAGATAGATGTTGTGAGAGACGAGAAAGTGAAGAGAGAGAAACCCACCATCCTTTCCAGAAACCTTCACCCTTACTTTTGGTATCAGCTGTGATGTGTGAAGAATCTTGGACACCTTGCACGGTGGTGGGATATCCAGGCGGTGGTGTTTGGTGGTGGTGATAAGCCTGACCCGGTGGAGGATAAGCCATCACTGGTTTCGATGGAGGATAAGCCTCTGCATGTGCACAGTCATATCATCCAATCTGACATATATCAAATAAACAATAATACAGCAAGAAACTGATTAATTAAGTTGAATAATTCTACAAAAACCTGAAACTTGGTGGTGTTGACTCATACTATCTGCCGCAGGTTATTCGCTAGACTGAGAAAGAGAAGGGTGATTATATATGTAGTCTCAATGGAGATGAGAAGAATGAACAAAAGGAGAATAAACCAAAGGGGTGATTGCTTATAATTTATTTGTAGATAATTTCTATGAAAGGGTCCCACGCGGATATTGGGCGAAGAATTTGAGGTTGTAAGAAAATTTGCAGAAAGCCAAGAAAGAAACAACAGGAAGAGATCAGATATTTAAGCCTGACATAATCAACCGCGTTCATACTCGCTCAGAAACTATCAGTTTTAGGTGGCGTTAGGTAAAGCAATGAGCTAGTTTCATCATAAAGGTAGAGATAATATAGCTCTAATATTTATTAATGATGATGTTATATGGGATCTGTTTTCTCAAGATAATTGATATGTTTGTGTCTGATTTGTTTAATCGAACATTACTTAATCACAACCTGTTTAGACGAGAATATGGTATATACGTTAACTGAATTAACCTAATCCTGAATCTGTGTGGTCTCGCAGGTTGACGCTTTCCATGATTCGAGTTCTGCAAATCACAGAAATTTCAAATCCTATGTTCTTAGACAGAGGAAACACCTAACCAGATATATAATCAATTGTAGTTAGTTGAATATTGATGAAAAAAGCTAATCATGCTATTATGAGATATATATATATATATATATATATATATATAATGAGTGTTTTTTGCTCAAAAATATATGACGTGTGTTCGTCCGGCGCGGGGCGGCGATGGAGTTGTTTTGGGGACAAATGGGCTAAAATAGAACCCGACCACAAATTGGGCTTGGGCCCATGGGAATAGAAAATACATAGTTACAACTGCGAACTTCCAACTGTAAACTGAAAATCTTATACTCCTCCGGTCCTAATTATAAGACCCAATTGACTTATTTGAGGAGATTAAGGAATTAAGTTAAGTTGGTTATTTATAATAAATAAGTGTTGTCATTCCTAAAATATCCTTGCTAATTAAGTATATTGGCTAAAACTATCATATTAGAAGGATTATCTTGGAAAAAAATGCATAAATATAAGAGACAAAATGGATTGGGTCTTATAATTAGGACCAAATAAAAAGTCAAATTGGGTCTTATAATAAGGACCGGAGGAGTATATTAAATTTAGTAAATGGAGAGACTTTTTAGCCCAAAATAAAAGTAATTATGTATATTCGTGAATTTTATATTAATATTATATCGGATCTGATTTTTCTTTTTTTGGCCAGCAATGGATCTGATCCGATGAGTCCGCTGAAAAATGCGTCAATATATATATTTCACCTAAGAATTAATTACGTAAATTTTTTTAACAAGAATGATATTTGAACAAAATAACATAAAATTTGAGAAAATAAAGTAATTATTTTTTTTAAAAAAAGACAACTTACACCAATAAATAATAGATAAACAGTGAATTAATAATACTCATCCATTCTATTTCTATTTATATATATATATCATATATTAATGTGGGAAATGACATTTCCAAGTGTGGGGGCAGAATAAACATGTTAATGCACATGGGAATGAAAACATGGAAAATTTGTTGGAGATTTTAAAATTAATGTACGCTAAAGATATATGGGTGCATATTATTATTGATGTGTTATGGCCACGTCTTATTTTTGACCCCAGGCATGTGATGTGGGTATAATTTTTTTTTTTTTTAAAAAAGAACAGCCCTATAACAAATATAGCGACTAAACATATGATTACTTCAAGAAACTTCAAAAGATCATCACAGTATCGTACTTAGTTTTAGTTTACGTCACATGTACATGTGGCACGATTTTGAAACATCCTCATACATATATAGCGACTAAGCATGATAACTTTCAGAAACTTAAAAGGAAAAAAAAATTAAAATCTTCATTCCGGTCTTCGCTCTTCAATGATACTTCCAGACATGGCAAGAGTGGAAGAGCTGGCGAATGCATTTTTCACCTGAGATATTTTATTTACAATTAATTCACACATTAATAAAGAAATTAAAAATATTAAATTTGTCATAAAATTTAAGTAAATTATAATATTATTTTTATTAATCACACTAAATTCTAGTATTATATTAATTATATTCTGCGTCCTACTACAATTTTTGCCGGAGACCGGCCTTACTAAATTTAAAGGAATTATTATTAGATCTTAAGAAGATATTTAATCATCCAGAAGTTCATTGACAACCAAAAAGAACATACAATGATAGTAAGTTTTAATACTGGAAATAATAACAGGTTTATGTTATTCATTAAGACTTGTTAGTAATTTTCCCAATCTATAAATTTAAACATATATTGCAAAAATATTAAATCTTTCTTAAAACTATCCAATTACTTGTAATAATAAAAATGCTAGTAATATTCCTTCATTTTAAATGTAAAATCTATTTTATAGTTTAATTTATGCTACAAAATGAATCAGAGATTTAAAATGGAACGAGTAGTTTCTAAAAGATACCCTGCTATAAGTTGGAGAGGGAGTATTTATTGCCAAACTTTCCATATTGACCGTATTTGATTACTCACAATTCCCAAAAACCTGCACTTTCCCTTTCACCATAATTGAGACGTGCAACTCTCTGTGATGCTGAAATTTCACAGACAAAGCTCATCAAAATCCTGAAGCCCATCCAACTTACTTCTATAAATACGAATATCAGTAAAATTAAAGATATTAAAAAAATAAACAAATATTATTACTACTATGAGAAAAATGGAATCATGCAGCTGCGTGCTTGCTTTATTCGTTAGGGGTCCACCAAATGAATGCAATATATCATGCAGTCACTTGTCCAAACCTAACGGTCAAATTTATTTATTTTGCTTCTGGTTGGGAATATAGTTATAAGTAATGTATATATAATAATAAAGCTAGGGTTTTCGAGTATCCTAAGCACACGAAGTAAGGTATGTTTCCAATACAAGAAAAAATGATCTCTCTCTCTCTCTCATAAGTAAAAAGAAAGGAACTGTTCATCAGCAGCGACAGGGAAGATGATAATGAAGAAGAAGAAAGAACCTCATTCTTCATTATTTATCAACGTCTCTTTCTCTCTCTCTTTATCTTCCTATCTCACTGACACAGAGATAGAGAGAGAAAGAAAAAGAAGGGTTGAAATATTCAAAGGGTTGGTTGTATGTATGTGCTTGTATTGTGGAGGTGGTGATGAAACGAAAGAGATTCTCATGAAAAGAGAAACAAAGACAGATAAAGATATATACTTGGAATAATATTATATATATAAGATCATAGAGACTAATATATATATATATATATATATATATGTAGAATAAGGAATAATGAAGAATGACAATAATAGTAAGAACTTTAGCTTTAAGTTGAAATGGAGAAAAAGAGAGAGGAAAAACGAAACTGTTTCCACAAGTCAAGATGCAAAAGGTTTGCGCTTAAAAGTGGGACAAAGCACAAATACACATGATCCCCCCCTAATATCCTTATCCCACTAGCAATTTATAGTTTTCATTTACAATTACAAATTAAGCAATGTTGTGAGATTCTAATTAGACACCCTACTTTGATTTATTTTGCCGACAAATCACATCTTAAACAATACCAAACACTTTCAAAAGTTTGTAAGAGTTTAATTGTAGCTGAAAACTCGCTAAAAATCATCATAATATCATGTGTACTAATTAAAATTATCATCAAATTGGAATTAATTCTTTCAATTAATGATTAGTGACCATTTTAATCTTAAAACATTAAATAAAAATTTCATGGGATAAAGCTGCAGGAGGAACCAAATGTGCAAACATCAATTTCATAAATTTAAAATTGATATTGATATGATCAAAGATATTTCTTTGTGTCAAAATTATTGTTTAAATTAAAGTAGCTAGAATATCAATCATGGAGGTAGAATGAAAAGGAACGGTGAAGAAAGTTGGAGGAAGAAGAGAGTGTGGGATCAATCTAGCAACTTCTCATCTACTCATCTTTCCATTTGACTATTCCTTTTAATTATTCTCTCTTTTTTAATGAAACTTCATGATTTAAATTAACTTTAAGCCTCTCTCAGTTCTCAAATATATACTTGGCTGAATAATTTGGTTTTGAATGTTCTCTCATATATTTAATTAATTGATGTACAGGGCCGCCATGACCGAATAATTATATAGTTTTCCTTTCCAAATCGTGAACATGAATACATACTTGTCCCCTCCTCCTCATTATTCTTATATTTGTGGCAATAATTATATGTAATACTACCATGATTATAAGATTCACATATATATATGTATGTGTATATATATCAGTCCAAAAAAGTGTTTGTACAAAATAATAATAAATTCATAGTCAAGTCCCATTCATTTGCATCACTCATAATTATATTTTTTTTAATACAAATCACTCATAATTATATAAACCAAAGTAATACTCCTAACCATTAATGCCAAATTAAATTTGGAGTAGAATTGGTTAGTTACTATTAATTATTAAATATATCATTGTCACAAATGGATGCCTTGATTGATTTTGTGACTCTGCCTTAATTAATTCACTCTGCGTTGGTGCCTCCATTCATGTGCATGCACCTAGACAACTACTTAGTTTACAGTCAACTTATTTTTAATCTATATTAAAATATTACCATCCTCGTTATACTTTCTGATGCAATAGTAATGCTTCAGTAACATATATACATATATATATGTATCTATATATTATACCATTAATTAAGCTTCATTAAATGGTCCATTTCGTGTTTATTAATCTATCTGTATGTAAAAGCACAGGTAGCAGAATCATGATTTAGGTGGAATTGCCGTCCTAATTTTTTGTAGCTTGCGTTTTTTTATTGTTTAGTTAACTTTTGTACGCTGTCTTCAGTCTTCACTGGCATCATAATTTGCCCCCAAAAAAAAAAAAAGAATTCTTTATATTATATACGAAATCAGAGATCAGCTTCATCATGCATATAAAAGTGAAAA